CGAGAGAGCTCATCGGCCGAGAAGCTGGCTGATGTGTATATACGTGAGATTGTCGCTCGTCATGGGGTTCCGGTCTCTATCGTCTCAGACCGTGATGTTCTGTTTACCTCTTAATTTTGGTAGAAGTTCCACGAGGAGCTGGGCACGCGACTGCACTTCAGTACGGCCTATCATCCGCAGACAGACGGCCAGAGTGAGCGGACTATACAGACTCTTGATGACATGTTGAGAGCCTGTGGTATTTACTTCGGTGGGAGTTGGGACTCCTACCTACCCCTTGTAGAGTTCTCCTACAACAACAGCTTTCACTCCAGCATTGGTGCTCCACCCTATGAGTTGTTGTATGGGCGGAGATGTTGCATCCTAGTCTGTTGCGGTGAGGTGGGTCATAGGGTGATGGGTCGGACCGAGGTAGTCCTGCAGACTACCAATATGATTCAGCAGATTAGACAGCAGCTGCAGACCGCGCAGAGTTGGCAGAAGAGCTACGCCGACCGACGTCGATCTGAGTTGGAGTTTCAGGTCAGTGACATGGTACTCCTGAAGGTCTCACCCTGGAAGGGTGTGATCCGCTTCAGGAAGAGGGGGAAATTGGGTCCCCGATATATTGGACCTTTCCGGATCATTTCCAGGGTTGGCAAGGTGGCATATAGACTCGAGCTACCAGAGGATCTTAGTCAGATCCACAGTACCTTCCACGTTTCGCAATTACGGAAGTGCGTTCTGGAGGAGGAGGCGGTGGTGTCATTATATGATATTCAGGTCGATGGGCGCCTGAACTACGTAGAGAGACCCTGGTCATTCTGGAAAGAAAGGTAATGGTTTTGTGGAACAAGGAAGTGCCTTTGGTAAAGGTACAATGGGAGCCGGAGGCTGAGATGCGGGAGCATTATTCAGAGTTGTTCACCGCAGCAGACTTCGAGGATGAAATGTAGTTAAAGTGGGGGAGAATTGTAACACCCCGAATCTTAGGTATACATTTTCAGTCTTATATTTCCAATTCTAAAAGTCGACTCGACGAGTTGGATGCCCCGACTCGTCGAGTAGGCACGGTTCTGGTCGTGGGTTTTAAGTGACCAACTCGGCGAGTCGGAGGACGGACTCGGTGAGTTAGAGCTGGAATGAGAAACCTTAATCCCTCGGAGTTTTGCACCCTATTTAAAGGATCCTTTGCCCCTTTGGCCTCCCCTTACAGCCCCTTGTGAGTCCAGAAACCCTAAAATTGCCATTTTTCTTTCTTTTGTGTGATATTAAGCCTTGTGGTGGATTGTGGATGAAATATCTTGAAGTACTCAAGCTTGGAACAAGAGGAGGGCTGTAGATCTGAGTTCTTCTTCATTTTAGCATTGTTTCTGAGGTAACAAGTTGTTACCTTGACCTTCTTCTATCTAGATCTATTCTTGTGTGAGATTAGAGCCATTTTGGCAATATTTATATGTTATTTTGGGTATCAGGCGTGATCTAACGTTGCAACTTCAGATCTAGGCTTATCTTGGTCTGTAGGATCATAAAGTTTCAGCCTTTAGTGAGTTAATACCTTCTTCATCCCTTAGGACCTTTCTTTAGCTTGATTTGGGCGATTATCACCTTACATGTACGTAAAGTTTGCAACTTTACGTAAGAAGTATGCCCTAAGAGCTTAGATCTGCATTATGGAGCTTTAAAGTGACTTAAAATCGTCTGGATGGTGAGAGGATTGAAGGGACTCGACGAGTTGCATGGCCAACTCGGTGAGTCTGATGAAGATTGTCGTGCAAGGACTTCTGCATGGACTCGACGAGTCAGTAGGATGACTCGGCGAGTCAGCTGAGTTTTCCTGACATTTGGACATGCATGAACTAGGTGAGTTGCGGGGAAACTCGACGAGTCAACCGGGGATTTCACGACTTCTCGTGTTCAGGAAGGACTCGACGAGTCAGGTCAACATGGACTGTTGACCTTGACCGTTGACCTTGAATTTGACCAAGGATTGACTAGTTGACTTCTGGGGTATCTGGTAATTTGGAAATTTATGGAAATGGTCTTATGGTAAATATAGGTGGTGGAGTTTGTGTCGGTGATTCGAGAGTTTGAGCTTATCACTTCAGTGCGACATTTCTGAGGTGAGTTATCCTCACTATATCAACAGGGTCTAAGGCACCAATGCCGGCCCTTGTCGGATTTGTATCCGGGTTATTGCATAATATGCTTATTGATTTACATCCTAGTAGTTAGGATGGTGATATGCTTAGTGACCTGGTTAGGTCGGTATCCTGGTATATAGGATGATGCTATGTTAGTGATCGGTTAGGTCACTTGACTGTTATATATGCTAGCGTATGATATTATGTGCACATGTTTGTTTGATTGGGGGTTGGGTTGAGGCGGTCCTTCTTTGTGCTGAAGGCCAACATACCTAGGGCGGTCCGGATAGACTACAGGCCCAGGAGGGCATGCAGTCAGACCGAAGGCTCGACGAGCGGTCCGGATAGGCTGTAGGCCCTGCGAGGCGGTCCAGACGTACCGAAGGCTCGGAGAGCGGTCCAGATAGGCTGAAGGCCTGCGAGGTGGTCCAATCAGGCTGAAGACTCATTATGTATGTTGTTTGCTTATATGTTTATATGATATGGTTATGATTATAAGGCGTTGGTATTTTGGGGGTAACTCACTAAGCCTTCGAGCTTACATTTATTGATTATTGTTTCAGGTACTTCAGATGATCGCGGGAAGGCGAAGGCGTGACTGTACACTTCCTCGATTTATGATTATTATTTTCTGGGAACTCTAATATGATACTATTTTGAAAACGAATTGTAATAATTTAATGTTTTTAAAAGTTCAAATTTGGCATGATTTTTATGGATGTTACATGTTATGTATCCTGATATATAGGATGATGCTATGCTATAATGAGTTGTTAGATTGGCGGATCCGTATGATTACCTGTATTTCTTGGACATATGTTAGATGGATAGATTTGTATAATTACATGTACTTGTTGGTTGTATGTTATCTGTTACATATGTTGACATGTTATGGTTGGGTTGAGGCGATCCTGCTTTATGGTAAATGCCAAGATACCCGGGCGGTCCAGTTGATATTGTAGGCCCAAGGGAGCGGTGCAACTTATCTTGTAGGCTCGAGAGGAGTCCAACTTATAGCTGATGGCTCGACGGCAGACTACCCTTGTGCTGTAGACCTTATTGCATGCATTGTATGTATTTTGCTGTGAGAGGTATTTCGGGTGAACTCAGTAAACTTTGGCTTACAGTTTGATTTCATTGTTTCAGGTATATCAGATGATCGGGGCAAGGCGAAGGTGCGATTGTACACATCATCCTTGGATATTATATTGAGATATGTTTTTGGATACTCTTATTTGATAACTAAGTTTTTGGAAACAATGTTTTGTACGACTTATAGATTATAAAATGGTTTTGAAAAATCAAAATTTTTACTATAATTTTTGGGACGTTACAAGTGGAGTCAACGGTGGTCCTCTGGTGACAACCTAACCGGAAAACAAAGAAAAATTTGCAACAACATTCACCTAAATCAAAATGAAATCTAAAAAATTGTTCACACGAATCACCAATTTCTCGCAATTAAAAAAAATTAAAATCCTTTACCAACCACTAGTCGTTGGTATAGAGTTCACACGAATCACCAATTTCTCTGTCGATGCCATGCTATCGGGACAGCTTATCCAAAAATGACGTCGCTGTTATTTTCATCGACAAAGGTTTTCAGAAAAAACGCAAAAATAATTTTTGTTCCCGCTAATCCTATGGCGACAACAAGTCGTGGGTATAGAGTTCCAGGTTGAAGAAACTTGGTCATCTCTGTATCCACGACAAGTCGTCAGTATGTATAGCTGATGTTTTAGTGACGACAAGTGTCATCGGTATAGATGTCGTCGACACAGGTGGAGATTCTTGCAGTGAATATTTACAACTCACACTTAGAGACAGTTCCAGGTGTAAAACATCCACATTGAAATGAAAAACGAATGTTACAACTTAACAATATCCTAGAAAAGTTGCAAAATTTGGTTATTATGGTATTATTTAATATGCAATTTTATTCCAAGTTTTGTTTTGGTTAAAAAATGTGTTTTTTATGTTGCATATATATGATCCATCGAACTCATATCTTATGTTATTTTAATTAAGTAAGCAAATGTATATTGTATATTATTTTTTTGTGTTGTGGTGTTGTTTTCTTTCTTCGTTTTTTTAAATGCCGTGTTCGTGTTAGCTACAAAACATGGTATCATCTGTGTTCAACTTCAAAATACCAAAAGGAGGAGGAGTCCATTTGATCCATTTTCCTTTAGTCTCCGGTTGTGTTCAGTTGATGAGAAAATATTTGCGTCGTGACGTGTTGGATAAAAACACAAAACGACCGTCCGATTTGCCACCCTAGGTTTTTTTTTTTTTTTTTTTTTAATTGAATCAATAGTTTGGTTATGTGGCAAAATCGTAAATTTCTTTCTAAGTCGTCATTAAACCATGCATAAGCTAAATCAAAATCATTTCACGATATGTTAAGAAAACACTTTACCAATATTTGAAAACTTGAATGGTTTGGATACATGGCCAGCTAGCGTAAATGATTAAATGTTTAGGCTTAAATTACAAATGTGTAATTGTATAGAATTCTCAAAATAATTGATTGTGTCTTGATATATTTTCAAATATTGTGGTACTGAACAATTGGAAAGATAAGTAACAAAAACTGATGATTTAATGCTCCGAAGATTATTTCTATAAAAACTAAAATTTGTCTAAATAATGCATATGCAAAATAAGAATATTTATACTTTTAATTTAGAGTTTGACAGCTTTATAACCATATTTAAAAACTTAAAAGTCTAAAATAATTCCGGTTAAAACTTGCCTTTTTTAAACTTAATGTATAAATATAATTCTCTTGGAGATTTAGCCTAAGTATTCCGATTTCTAATTCTTGTCAACGACTAGAGATTGCAGAAAACCCTAGAAAAAAGAAGGAAGAACGAGATGGATAGATGGGATTTCGATCGCGACACAAAGTATCGAAGCAGCAAGAGAAAAGATAGAGGTGGAGAGAGTGATGAGGAGGATCGGTATGGCGATAAACGAACTAGGGTTGTGCACGAGTGGAATGAGTGGCGGCGGTTTGATCAGGAGAAAGTGGGTTTTGCTGAGGAAGACACAGATAGGGATGAGAGGAGGGAATTCGAGGATGGAGATAAATTGCAACAAGGGAAATTGAACGGGGAAACAATGACGACGATGAAGAATGAACTTAAAGATGAACCCTGTGGTGGTGCACTGGGAGCACCCAGTAAGGCATATGAAACCCTACATGAGACCCCTTTGGCGCCCAGCCACCCTCATCCTCCTTCTAAGGTATCATCACTTTCTACCAAACATGAAACTGAAGGAGTTGATTCTGCAGATGCTGCCAAGATTGGAGGCATCTCTCTCAATGCTTTATCTATGGCCAAAGCAACTTTACTGAAGCACAAGGGGCTTGCAGAAAAGATGAAGAAGATCCCGTTGTTAAACAAGGGTACTGACTCAGCAAGAGATGGCCTCAAACCTCCATCTAGTTCAGGAATACCCGCTGCCCCACCACAATCTGCTGCCCGACTTGGTGGTGGGCTGCCCCGAAATTCTGAAGCTGTAAAACGGGCTCAAGAGCTTGCTGCCAAGATGGGTTTTAGAAAAGACCCGGAATTTGCACCACTTATAAACAAGTTCCCCGGAGAGCTGGCACCAGAAGTGACTGTACAACCAAAGCATGCTAAAGCCCCTGTTCTTAGTTTGGATGCATTGGGTAGGGAAGTCGATGAAAATGGCAATGTGGTAAATATACCTAAGTTAAACATCTTGAGCACCCTTAAGGTTAACATTAACAAACAGAAGAAAGATGCATTCCAGATTCTGAAACCGGAATTAGAAGTGGATCTAGATGAAAACCCTCACTTTGATCCTCGAATGGGAATCAATAAAACTAAACTTTTAAGGCCTAAAACGATGACCTTTCAGTTTGTTGATTCTGGTACTTACGGAAACGTCACAGAAGGCGGGCCACCTGAAGATATACTAAAGAAAGAGAAGATAACTCTATACATGGAACAACCCCACCCAATCGAACCGCCAGCCGAACCGGCCCCACCCCCGCCTCAGCCTCTAAAACTCACCCAAAAAGAACGCAAAAGACTCCGAACTCAAAGACGCCTCGCCACTGAAAAAGCCCGGCAAGAAATGATCCGCCTAGGCCTTCTAGAACCCCCAAAACCCAAAGTCAAAATGAGCAATCTAATGAAAGTCCTCGGATCAGAAGCCACCCAAAACCCGACCCGCCTTGAAATGGAAATCAGAAGCGCAGCCGCCCAATGTGAACAGGCTCATGTTGACCGGAATATCGCCCGGAAGTTGACTCCGACCGAAAGACGCAAAAAGAAAAAACCAAAGTTTTTCGATGACAATAATAATACCCTCGAAACAATTGTGTCCATATACAAAATGAATGACCTTTCGCACCTTCAGACTAGGTTTAAGGTTGATGTAAATGCACAGAAGAATCGGTTGTCGGGGTGTGCGGTTATTTCGGAGGGTATTTCTGTCGTGGTGGTGGAGGGCGGGGGTAAATCGGTAAAACGGTATCAGAAGTTGATGTTGAAGAGGATAAATTGGGCTGCGGCTGTGAAAGAAGAGAATATGCATGAAGAGGTTGATGATGATGATGAGAACGTGAAGAATAAGTGTGTGTTGGTGTGGCAAGGGAGTGTGACTAAACCAAGTTTTCAAAGGTTTTTGGTGCATGAATGCAGTACCGAAAATGCTGCTCGCAAAGTGTTTTATGATGCTGGGGTTGGTCATTATTGGGATTTAGTTGTTAATTTCTCAAGGATGTGTAATTAGTGAAACTATAAAATTTGGAGAGAATGAGAGATGATATAATGATATATATGATGCTGGTTGTAATACGTTGTTGCAGCAATTTTTTTTGGTATATAGGTTGTTCAGTGATAGATTTGTTATATTGAGATCCTACCTGAATCTTTATTATGTGTGTCCTCGTTAGTTTGTCACAAGTACAGTATAAAGTTTGTGTTTAAATTTAGAAAAAGTTGTCTAAAATTTGCATAGTTTAATCGTTAAATCACTAACGAATCAAATTATGATATTTACGTGTAGTTCAAGACGAAAATAAAGGTCCGAAAAATTTGCTTATCCAGCTGGGTTGTCGATAAAATCATTTAAATCAAGTTTAATATAATCTATATTTGTGTGTTTGTCCTTCATTCCTATAAAATAACCTATATTTCTTTTTGAATATATAATTTTAATTAATTTTATTTTAAAAAAAATTAAAGCCCCTTTCACACATCACCCCACTAACTCATGCCCCTTATCTTCATCGACACTCATCTCGCCTTTTTATTCTTCTTGCCCGACGTAATCGTCGATGCTCGTGTCCATATGTAACATCACACCTCCATCTTCATTTCCCTTGATCTTAACCCCTATCACTTGTCATTTCTTATATATCTACATCCAGAACGTGACGAACCCCAATAACTTTGCCTCTACCCCTACACACTACAACAAAATCAAGCTAATGCGACTTCTCTAAAAGGTTGCATTAAGGCTTGAAAAGGTTGTATAATGCCGAAAGCAACCTTTTACCAAAGGTTGCATTAGGAAAATTGCATTAGACCAAATGCAACCCTTTCTTAAATGGTTGCAATTATTTTTTAGATGCAACCTTTTTTTAATACAATCTCTGTTATGAAAAATAAACTTTTTTATGCTCATATGCAATTTGTTTTCCATTTATATGCAACTTTTTTTTTACTATTTTAGTTACAAAAACGTAGCTTTTTTATAATAAATTTCAACATTTATTACCTTTCTAGTGAAGAATTAGAACATTTCTCAATGCTATTTACAACCTTTGTTGCATCTTTAATTGCAAAAATTACAACCTTGTTTACAGTCAAATGCAATTAAACCTCTATTTTTGTGACATTTCTAACATTAATATTGATGGATTAAGTGTGTAACCGAATAACTAAATTGGTATATACTTGAATTAAAAACTAAAGTCCTTTTAGGTTGTCCTCATAATCAGAAATAGCTAGAAATGATATTAGCAGAGAATGATAAATGTTGTTTTAATATATTATGCGATTAATATATTAATTTTAACGTCCCAAAATTTATAACAAAAAATTTCATTTTTGTATTAATAAAACAATCAGCCAAACATGTTTACAAAAATGATAAGTGAAATCAGAGTATGTCAACAATCATCCAAAAATACATCAGAGTCAAATATGGCGGAAATCATGGTGTGTGTGCGCGATGTGATCATCTCGAGCTCTACTCATTCGAATTGGAAGGACCTGAAACATAAACAAAAAATCGTAAGCACAAAGCTTAGTGAGTTCTCCTAAATACCGCATAACATACATATACGTCAGCTCAAGGTTGTATCAGGTCTATTTCACCCCCGAACCAATTTCAACTCATAGGTCGGCACAAGGCTGTACCGGATCTATTTTGCTCCCGGGTCTATTTCACTCCCGACTTTATTTCAACTCACATGTTAGCACAAAGCTATATCGGGTCTATTTCACCCCACATACATATAACAAATAGGCACACAAGCATACCATTATACAACAGGAGTCACGAAGACTACAAGCACATATAATTCCTAGTGGCCTATAGTATAGTGAGCAAACTCACCTCAATCCGCTGATAAACAAATAGATGATCGGGCTGCTGAACTGGAGAATCCCCGCACTAATCAATCAAATAATATCCTAATTAATAATTAGGTGATAAACCATAACCGGGAATATAAATCCTTAATCTCGAATCCAACGTTAAAAGACCATTTTACCCCATAAAGGCTAAACCCAACCAAACATAGCCCAAACCCTGAAAATGGCACAAAATCATTCTAGGTCCACATCATGGAGTACGGCCAGCGTACCCGCGTAGTCACGTTGACTAGAATACGAGACTCAAACTCAGTACATGCAGCGTACACAGAAGTACACTTAACGTACTGGTCATTGATCTTTTCTCATCTGAATGGCTTAATCCCTTAATCCCTTAACATACAAACCTCAGATCTACTTCTAATTAAGGTCTTAATCCATAAAGTTGGCAACTTTACTTACTTGCATGACTTAATAGGACCCAACACTAAACCCTAAGTCCAAAACACCATAAAAAGGTTAACAACTCAAGCATGGGTGAACTTCAGCACTCAAGCTTCGATTTTTATCACTTATACAACTAAGAAATACCAATTTATGAAGTCCAAAGGTTCTGGAGTAACTTCCACTCACAAATCCAAGTCATGGGACCAAAATATGCCCAAAACATAACCCAAAACCAGATTTATGTAAAAGAAGTTGGAAGCTTTATACCTCCAAAACTTACAAATGTGAAGAGATTTATGGATCTTCAAGCTCCAATCAAATGAATGCTCCTCCAATGAGTTCCTCATTCTTCATTATGGACCAAACACATAAAAATCACTCGAAAAGCTCAAGATCTAACGAAAAGGGGCAATGGTTCGTAATACTACTTTAGGGTGAATGGAGGTTGAGAAAGGAAAATCCTCAAGGGACTTAAGTTGCTTAAATAGGGTCCAAATGTTGAATATTAGGGTTTGAGTGTGGGTCGCGTACGCCCAACGTACCTATAAGTATGCCCCGGCGTACTAGAGTGATCCCGCGACCTTCTATAGTCAGTACGCCCAATGTACTACATAATGTCCCGCTTTTCATTTAAACTTCAAACGACCATAACTTCCACACCTACCCGTATTTGTCTCAAGGATCATCACCTCGCCCTAACAATACTCATAAGCATAGACGAACACTTAGTCCTCACCCCTAGAAGAAAGACTAAACTTCTCATAACTGGTCGAGTCACCCCTTACGTCTCATCCGTGAAACTTCCACCAACCCTGCAGCAGTCGTGTATGCTAGCCATACATAACACTGGATTGTATAGACATTCAGATATCTGATCCTAACCTAAGCCCTTCATCAAACAGGAACAGGAAATAAGACAAAACCAGACATTCTCAGGCTATAAGATCTTTGTTATATATAACCATGATGCATACACTAAGTAATTACAGTAATGATGCCAATTTCATAAAAAAAATGTTTTAGGCTATCAGCCATCATATAATCTGGCAATTCTATCATGCAATTCCTGAAGATCTCTAGCCTATCACTAGCATGCTTTTCTAACATATCACAATATTAAATAGCAGCTATGGTATTTTGGGGTCCACTTACTAACTTCGGCTGATCGTACACATTGCATCCTCTTTGAGCATTTTGAAAACCATTTGAAAATCTTTTCCTTAGTTTGAGACTGGATTTACACGAGTGTTCCTCCAATTCACTCAAACAAAGGTTGTGATACCAACTTGTAACATTCGAAAATTTCTTGAAACTTTTAACTTTTGAAATAAGTACAAACCATCATTTATTACATATTGTTTTCAAAATAAATTTCACATCAGAGTTTTCCTAGAAATCATAACACAAAATACGAGGAGGTGCAGGATCAAGCCTTCACCTTCCCACGATCATCTGAGGTACCTAAAACATAATAAAAAATTGTAAGCCTAGAGCTTAATGAGTGAAAGACCCACACTTTCATACTTGATAATTGTTACTCCGAAACATGCTACATGCATATTCATAAAAACAATATTTTATACTGATAAAGTGATTACAAACTACTGGATACAAACCGACTATTTCAAAGTGGTATATATTACATAACTTCCCAGGATTCTATAGTTTTATACATATGGGAGTACAAAATACAATAGTTTCAAACTATTCAAAAATCTTCTATCAATACAATAGTTTCAAACTATTCAAAAATCTTCTATCAGTATATAACTATACTGGATGCTTATCTCCTGCAATTCGTTAAACATTGAGAGGGTAAGCGGTGACGCTTAGTGAGTTCAATAATAGATACAATATAACGTTATGCCATATATATACTTCAATATGGAAGAAGCAAAGAGGAACAAGGAACATCAAAGGAATATGTGAATCATGTGACAAACTTTCCATATCAATCATTGATTTGATTCAAAGATATACAATCAATGAGACATAACAATTTCCATACTTGATATACATCAATAAAGCTTTGGCCCAAATGGCACACAAGACATACAACTTCGGATTAACATTTTGGTAGATTTCAGGCTTATAGCCCTGTCTAACCTTCTGCCAATACCATAGAATAGAAATCATTCTCTTACGGAGACATGTTCTACATGGCCAGAGGCTACATACGAGTACCAATGTGAATCTAAGTCCTTTCACTGATCACATGGTCAAAGGTATTACTTTGCTATTAAAAATAGCGAATAAAAATAACACGGGAAAATAACCCGGAATAATAACACCGAAAAGCACATAGCACATATAACACATAACATACAATTGTTCCTATATATTAAACTCACCGTGAAATAACCGGGGGGTTAAAATAGTAATTTGGGCAGCACTTCGTTACTATAATTGACTATCTTCGTTGAAAACCGGGAGTTTTCTTGAAAACCGGGCTCTGCGAAGGTAGAGCTTCAAACCGAAAAGATAAATTTCTCGGGCTTCTCGGGAACTTCGGGGCGTGTTTCGGGCGTTGGAAATAATCCCGGGGCTTCGGGGGAAGTTGAAATAGTAGAAATATAAGTTTAGGGGTGAAAAAGACACATTTTCTAACATTTACCCGGGAGGTCTCGCAACCCTTATATAGGTGCGAGCCTCGGATCCGAAGCAAGAGGGAGAGGGCAGGTGTCTGCGCAGCTGCGAGGCTCGGTACACGCGGCAGAAGGGCGAGGCTCGGATGCGAGGGTC